CAGACCCAGGACGTTATCATCACGTCAACGTCTGGAAATGCATTGTGACGTGACGTTATGCCGTGATAATACAGTGTCCGTATTCTCCAGCACAGGTCAATGTAATCGTGATATCAGTATAGAGGGAGAGGCGAGGTGTATCAGTACAGTCAGTAACGATAGATTCGTGGTCACATGCAAAGATAAATGCTGTAGACTGTATTCAACATCAGGTCAGTTTATCCAATATTTTGGTCAGGGTGATATGTCTGACCCCTGGGGTGTCACTGTGGACCGTACAGAGGGTAAGGTGTACGTGTGTGATAGTGGTGCACAGTGCATCTGTGTGTACGACATGATATCTTTTCAACTTGTTAACAGAATTCTTATCCCAATGTGCGGTAAAGGTGCACTGCCCTGTGCATACCACCACGGCATCAATGCAATCATAGTCAGCGACCACAGTGCCCACTGTGTGTATGCAGTGACACCCCAGGGTGACGTCATGTTCGAATACGGAACACGAGGTCAGAGAGGAAGTGGAGACGGACAACTGAATAATCCACGAGGAGTGTGCGTAGATAAGTTTGGACATATATTCATAACTGACTACGGTAATCGCAGGGTGGTTGTCCTTGGTTCAGACGGAAGATTTCTACGTAACATTTTGACAGAGGGTGCGACATTGGGAAATGTGTCAGTTGATGTCAACAGTGAAGGGGAGCTTGTTGTTGGAACTGACCTTTTCCAATTATGTGAACTATATTATATCTCCAGAAGTGAAATATCCACATACAAGTATATTAATGAGAAATGACTTATATGATTTGAAACTTTAAAGATGATTGAATTGTGTGTAACATAACTGAGGAAATGCAATGAACACACCTTATAATGATTGTTGACATTGTTTCCAAGTTCTAATATGTGTGCATAAAAAAATACGAAGGCATATGATTCAATCAATTTTATCAATGTTATCAATTTAATTGAGCAATTCCCATCTGTTGCAGATCAACATGTTTTTTTTTTTTTCATTTGCAGGTACGTTTTTTATTATCATTTGTTGATTTAAACTGTTAACAATAGAATTCTTTTTGGCCTACGTATGATATATTTATATTCATGTAAAAAGTTTTAACAAATAGATGATGCGTATAGAATGTAAAACAAATAATAGAGATATTGCTGGTTATAGTAAACAGCTTGATATTTTAGAAGTAAAATCTAACGGGCCTTAAAGATGTTAAATACTTGATTTTTTATTATTTTGTTCATCACTGAGGTTCAGTTTTTCAAAATGTAAATAAACGCCATCAACAGCAGAATAGTTTTTTGTTTTCAGTTGTGTCAGTTTCACTTTCATTGTCGACGGTGAAGGCGTTCCGGACATTATTTTACAAACTGTGCACAGTCTTGCTGGGACAACGAAGTATTGTAACAAGTGAAAGGAAATACGAGCAGGACATCCGCTTTCTTTTACTGAGTATAGTTCTATTTGTTTTTTTTTTTTTTTTGTTTTTGTTTTTTTTGTGTGTGTTTTTTTTTTTTTCTTTTTTTTAAATAAAATAACGAACATGGCTACCAGGACCCCAAGAGGGAGGGGTCGTGAGAGGGAGGGTCGCGAGCTAACTAAGACATTGTGGTTGAAAGCAAAACCGTCTGTTAACTGTGTCACACACTATATAATATCAAGTCTAATATATCATTAAAAATAATTCGTGAGAAAAAAAATAGTTGGCGACATCTATGTTTCACGAAGCTGTCGAATTCAACATATAACTGATTTCGTCCGTTTGCTTCCCGCCGCCCGGAGTGAGAAGAATGGTTGGAATGCAAATGAGGGGTCCCACGTAGGGTAAAACTTTTTTGGGGGGTGGGGGGTGGGGGGGAAGGGAGTGTGGGGCATGCCTCTAAAGAAATTGAAGTGCTGGGGTCACGTAGACTAATAAGGATCCTCCCTTGTCATAGAGGAGGCAAATCAGGGACAATAAATTGTTGCAAAGAGGACAAGTTGTAATGGTGGCAGAAGAGCAGCTGAATCGGTAGCACTGATGCATTAGTAACAAAAGCCCTGAAGGCTATAATAGATAATAAATCAATATTTCCAATGATTTTTCGTTTGGCTACAACATTTTTAAAATTTCATTATGTATATTTAGTTGATTCCAGTCTTATTTTTTTCTAATACTAGATTTACAGAGATGCACCGCAATCTATAAACTGGTGGCGTTCTCGGCGGGGAGATCACATGATCTTGACCAGACGGGGAAAGACAACGCTGTGGTTGTCTACGACACCGTCTTTCTCAACGATAGCAACGGTTATAATAAAGACACCAGGAAATTCACCTCCTTGACCTCAGGGATGTACGTCTTCCATTACCATAGTCTCAGCCACAACAGCAAGTCCATATATGTCAAATTGAACCATTGAATGGTCAGATAAAGAATAATGGGTACAGTAAACCTTCCACAAGGTTTGCGACAGGCAGTAGCACTATTGCTTTGCGGCTAGCAGAGGGAGACGAGGTGTGGGTTGATTTAGTTGGAGGCCACGCCCTTAATAACCATCCTGGGGAGTTACACAGCATTTTCACTGAATACAAGCTCTATCCAGGCAACAGCAGCATTAACACAGTGGCTTTCCGTTGACGTTACCAGCTCTATCCAGACAACAGCAGCATTAACACCGTGGCTTTCCGTTGACGTTACCAGCTCTATCCACACAACAACAGCATTAACACCGTGGCTTTCCGTTGACGTTACTAGCTCTATCCATTAACACCGATAACATTGATTTTATCAATTTAATTACGCACTTCTGTCCGTTGCAGATCAACATGTATTTTATCATTAGTCGATGCTTATTTCACTTATTGATTTTAACTATGGACATCGTTTTGGACTAAGTATGCAAAGAGTTGATCTCTTCTCTTTTTTTTTTTCTTTTAATTTTTCTTGTGAAAAGTTTTAACAAGTACATGGTGTATACTGAATGTATAAAGAGAGACAGAAATGCGATTTTGCTGGTTTTAATAAACAAATTGATGTCTTAGAACTAAAATCAAATGAGTCCTGATGACGTTAATTGCTTTTATTATTTTTATTATCACTGAGGTACTCTTTTGGAACAAGTGAATAAACTCGGTTGACAGCAGGACATCCTTGTTTGTTTTCACTAGTCGTTGCGAAGTCGCTCCGGGCATTATTAAACAAATTAATAGTGCGAAGAATAGTGCCGAGTGAGAGGATATCATGTAGCAGACCCCCCCCCACCCCCTTTCCTCTCACTGGTCTCTGTTCTACGCATTCCCCACTGTATACAGAAGGGATGTATGAAGACAGAGACTTCCTACTCTTATGACTGACGTGGCTAAAATAAAAAGAAAAACGTGTGGTAAGCTCCTTATTGCTTTCCCACGGTCACTACGCATGTTTATGGCATGATAGGTGGAGCACACACCCGGCCATGAATGTATGAGATTACGAAAAAAAGAAAATTTGTGTTAACAAATTTTCAGTAGACCCTATATTCTGTTAAATTTTAAATTATTCTATTAAATACAGATAGGGGCGAACATGAACGTGTAGTGGATGACATCGTTACGCAAGCAATTGCCCCCTAACGCTTATAATTAAAATGATTCCGTTATAGACTCAGAATAAATACTGTATGTACCTTTATCTGGTAAAAATTGCCTAGAGATTGTTTCGTGACCCTTGCAAAATCATAAAATACAAAACAATATGGTACGTTGTCCATGAATAAAAGGGAACACCAAGTCTGCATTATCTCCGTCTATGCAAAATCTTCATTCATTCATGACTTCTTAGCACGCTGTTTTCTAATACGCTTTCCAGATCCAGGACGTTATCACAATGTCAACGTCTGGAAATACATTGTGACGTTATGGCGTCATATAGACATGACGTTTAAAACGTCATAGAATAACAAATGCATCATAAAGGAAAATCACGTCATAAAAGCCCATAGCTCTGCAGAATCGAGGTAACAACAAACAAGGAGCTGGTGATTGAACTTCACTATGGAAAACAATGATGACAGCATGGACTGTACGGGGATTAAAGAAGGTATGGATTGAAATAAACTATTCTTGCTGGACGTGTGCTTTATGTAAAACAGTTGAATGTTTTCTTTTTTTTCTGTATTTTGAAATAAATAAAAATTGAGTTTCACCATTACCGATACTAGTTATTCTAATAACATTAGATATGTTTGACCTTGAAGATCACTGGGAGTCCTACAGTAATACCATGCTGAGTTTAACAAATACTTTTAGATTAATACCTAACTCACACATTTTTGCGTTTATATAGGTATTTAATTTGATATTGTATTATAAAACAACCATAACTAAACAAAGACATCCGTAACGTTCTGCCGTGTAACTCTCCTTCCGCACAACATAGAATAAAGTCTGTAATTTTATAATGAAGAAATGATCCACACGTTCTTCACAATTATATCATTGTATTGTCGTTAGTTGTAAAAATATACTTAAAATGATTAAATATGTAAAAATACTTATATATGTTCCAGCCGACTCCGAGCGAGATATAATAAAACGCAGAATTAGTAAACAAGCTTGTGATGTGTTCAATGATCTCCGGGAATCCGGGGCTCTCTGTGACGTCACCATTAAGTGTGACGGACGAGATTTCCACGTCCACCGCATCATCATGTCTGGGTGTAGCCCATACTTCCGCGCTCTGTTCAGTAACGATCTCTCGGAGTCTTTTAAGTCAGAAATCCTCATCCCGAACGTTTCTGCAGCCGATATGGAGCTGATCATTCAGTATGCGTACAGCCGACAGGTAATGTATTTATTGGTCGCTTTAAAAACAAATAAATAAATAATTTTGTATACAAATAGACACAAACTTTTGATTCAAATTCTGTCTAACCAAATGTGTTGATAACTAGAACATTCAATGCACACTTGTTTATTTTAGACGTGTTGGAAATAAATATTTTTTGAGGGGGGGGGGTTACATAAAGAAGACCTCTTTCTATTCTTTCCCCTAGTTAAAGGAAATAATTCTTATTGAAAATCTGTTTCTCTTCCCGCCAGGTGCACATCACGGAGGATAACGTGGAACATCTCCTCCCGGTGGCTGACCAGTTCCACATCCTGGGCCTCGTCAAGGCCTGCTCCAAGTTCCTCCTGCACCATCTGAGCATCGAGAACTGCCTGGGAATCTGGCAGTTTGCCAAGGCCTATTTCTGCACCTACCTGGAGCACATGACGCTCAAGTTCATTCTCAGAAATTTCGGCGAGATCTCGGCGGTTAGTAACGAGATTTTGATGTTGGCTCCGGATGAGCTGTTGAGTTTGCTCAATTCGGACGACCTCAACGTCAGAGATGAGAGGTTTGCCTATGAAGCAGCTATAAGATGGATCTCAATAAAGCCTGAGGAAAGGAAAGAATACATCGTCGACATCTTGAAATCTCTTCGTTTGGGTGAGTGCTTTTTTTTTCATTCGTTCTGGTATCGATCAATGATTTGATTGTCTTTTTTGTCTTTTCATTTTAATGAATAAATGATACATATATAAATAAAGGTAGAGATAACTGATGCTAATTAGACTACCTTTTAATACTTCCAGGTCTGATAGGGACAGAGTATTTCATGCGTCATGTGAAAACCAACGAGTTCGTGGTGGGCAACCCGGACTGTAAACCTATTATTATACAGACTCTGGCGCTGATGCATGACTTTGAGATGACGAACGCGATGAACCTGGCTATAGGCAACCCCCTAATGCGACCTAGACTTCCCCATGAGGTACTGTGAACGGTATTGGTTTACAAAATTGGGTTACAAAAAATTATTCCTTCTTGTGCTGTCTCTGTATGATATACGTGTATATTTTTCATAATGGAAACATCTTTAGGGTGCCGAGGTAATTGTATAGTTTCCAGATCTGTGTTTCAAAAAGCGATTCTAACGTCCCGGGCCTATTGTCGTTTTTCAATTTAAAAAATAGAAATTGATGAAATGTATTACTGCTTAAAAGTACTGGGTACAGACATGAAATTAATTTTTTTCAATTAATATTAAGTAAAAAGTGACCTTCGTGTCCGTTGTTTGTTCCAGTTGTTGTTTGTTATTGGAGGGTGGAGCGGGGGAAGTCCGACCAAAGCCATTGAGGTGTACGACTCCCGAGCTGACCGCTGGAACCTCATGGACCCGGATGTGGAGGACACCGGTGAGGGCTCCCTCTGTCTGTCTGTCTGTCTCTCTGTCAGTTTAACTTTCACTCTTCTTATCTCACTTGAACTCGACACTTTCTGCTTCTTTTTTTGCTATAAAACGTCCATTTAATTAAGAAGATATTGATATATATACTTCATCTATGGTATCTATTATTCAATCAATTAATATATTTATTAGTTTATTTAATTTTTTTATAATTTTCCATAAACCGGCCAGCTACAGCACGAGCGTACCACGGGTCGGTGTATCTGGGCGGTAAGATCTACGTGATCGGCGGCTTTGACGGCACTGAGCAGTTCAGCAGTGTGCGCGTGTTTGACCCCGAGACACGTGCCTGGGCTGAGAGCGCGCCCATGCACCACAAGAGGTGAGAGAGAGAGAGAGAGAGAGAGAGAGAGGTGATAAAGAAACTGAGCTTGCTTTCATTATTTGTGTTTGCTATGTTTATTCAAGCTACTTATTTTCGTGAGTTGAACTGCTTTCCAAAATTCCAAAAACCCGATCAGAATAATCGTCAAGTTGCATGCACAATTTGATTGCAAATAATTTTTTGTTATGTGAATGTAGTTCACTTTTCCAAGGTGTTACGTGAGTGTCGTGGTCTGTGAGGGTCTTATCTACGCCATGGGAGGTTATGACGGCCGTCATCGTATGAACACAGCAGAACGCTATAATCCCAAGTACAACCAGTGGTCTTTCATCTCCCCCATGCACCAACAAAGAAGTGATGCCTCGGCTGCCACCTTAGATGGTGAGAGATTGATACTTTCAGACTTTGCTTCATTAATGTGGTAATGACTTTTTGTCAAAAACAAAACACATGTTAAATGAGTAAACGAAAAGATAATGAACAGCCCTTCATACGTAGTCCCAACCATTTTCGGTTCTACTAATATATTGCTTAAGCAAATGTTCATCGTCAATTAGATTTATATATGTATTCATTAATCTATTTGTTTATGTTTAAGGAAATGTCGGCGGGTTTAATGGAAATGAGTGCCTGAGTGCCGCGGAGTACTACACGCCAGCAACCAATCAGTGGACAGAAATCACGCCAATGCGGAACAGACGAAGCGGAATTGGTAAGTTAGAGTAAAGGCATATTTGGTTCATCATTAAAATAAAACATTATTTTGAAAAGTAAAACAGTCATGTTCATTATGCAATATACATTTTACTACCTGTAAATCGTGCGATAATCCCGAACAACAATAAACAGGACTGAGAACAGATTTCACATTGCTTATTATTATTATTATTATTATTATTATTATTATTATTATTATTATTATTATTATTATAAGGGATCACGGCATTCAGGGGCCACATCTACGCTATAGGTGGATTTAACGGCATAGTTCGCATGAATTCTGCAGAACGCTATGATCCTGTAAAAAAGACCTGGACGCCCATAGCTGAGATGATGACACCCAGGAGTAACTTTGCAGTCGAGGTGAGTCTCTCTCTCTCTGTCTCACACACACGCACACACACATACAGTTGTACCTAGCTTGTTTGAACTTTAATTCCTGTTCGGAGAACAAAATGCATTTTATGCCCCATCACCCCCTTAATAATATCCTGACCAGCAAGTTTTTAGTTCTAACACATATGATTAAGACAAACATAACCGGACGTGAATTACCATTCTCAAAAAGCGTTTTTTTATACAAATGAAATATCAGTCAAACGAAAAACTATAAATGAAATAAATTTCATCAGAAGTAAGCAAAAGAAAAAAGGTAATGCGGGTTTTATGACATCTTTCAGGTAATAGATGACCAGATATTTGCCATTGATGGTTTTAATGGAATGACAACATTGTTCTACGTTGAGTGTTCTGACTAACTCGCCAATGACTGGTAAGTTATTTCTCAGTCCGGCGCACAGTTGGGGCAACAGGCTGAGCTACTGACCTCAAGCTGACTTTGGAATCAATGCACGCTTGTTCTCGACTTAATTCAGTGCATAAAATGAGATGCAAAACTCTCAAAACCGAGAACTCTGTATCTTTGAATATACCACTATAGTCAGAGTATTGAAGTCAGAGGCCACCAAAATTATTAGTATGTATTGACACAATATTCAGTTCATCGTTTCTCGGCTGCGCCATGTATGGTTTCAAGAAGATATATGGAACTGTGAATAGTCAAATACATAATAAGCATATACATGTGCAAAGTTATTTAGAGTATTTGCCCTTTTTCATTTTGTTTCCGCCATCATTTTCGATATTTTCCAAATTAACTTCTTCATATCACTGCTTTTCAGGTGGGACGCCACAGATATGAACATTCAACGCAGTGCTCTCAGCGCATGCGTGGTAGATGAACTTCCTAATGCGCAGGTCCGACAGTACCTGAGTAAAGAGCGGGAACATTTGTTGGATCCAGCGATTCATCCAGCAGACGACACTCAGGTGGACTACATCCGGAAACAGGGCACGGCGTCGTCTGCTTTTTAGATGAAAATGAAAAAAAAAATGGACGCCATTGCATAATTCTTGAAACATATTTTAAAGAAACACATTTTGAATACTATAAAATGAAAATATGAAGAGTATTATTCCTGGTTAACAAAAAGGTCAAAATATGGTCCCTTTTTTTCACAATATTCATGTATTTATTTTATCACTGTTTTGTCCTAGGGTGTCCTATTACAATGTGCTTCGAGTACGCGGTCCTTATTTTACGTTTAGTTCATGTTTATTTATTTATTTTATTTTATTTTTATTTTTTTATTCTAAATATAGGCCTACCTGCCGAAACGCTATCAAATCGACTCGTTTGAAATTGTGTTACATTCGTCTTCACATTTTTCAATTATATTTTATTGCGTCACGCCTTCCCCGTTGATTTATTTTGCACCCTTTATTTAGTAAGATGGTTTCTTTTATAGAAATATGCAACTAAATGTTAAAGAAATTAAAAGACTTACGCAATTTAAGAATTAAACAGAAATGTTGGAAAATTTAAATTAGGATAGAGTCATATATGACGTAAGTTGAGAGAAGGAGAAGAGAAGTCGCACTTAGTACCACTGTTTTTTTTTTCCAAAAGTGAGAAATTTTAATATATTATTAGTAGTGATAAGTGTACATTGAAATTTTGTTTCTTTCGAGCTTGAAAACAAATTTCACTCTAGAAAAATAACTGGGGAATTTCCAACAGTCGAAAAGAGAACACAAATACACAAACGAAAACACGCACATGCACACAGCCTATTCTCAGAGAAATATTTGCAAGCAAAAGAGAGGTCAAAGGGGCCATTGGTAAGAACTATATTTATATGAATTACCAGAGGCAAACTTTTTTTAGTTTTTACCACAAATCAATTCATTAAAGACTTGAACTGAACGCCAGGGGGCTTCCAATGGCTTTGGACCTCCCGAAAGCTAAGAACATTCAGACCGCCTCATATATGTTTCTCTGATAAAATTTCCAGGAAAATGGTTATCAGACGTCATAACTGCTTAGAATACCCTCATCATTTGGATACCTTTAGGTTTAAGATTCCGTCGAAACTGATAAACGACAAATTGTTACAGAATATACTTATCTAGGTATCACCTTCACCAATACAGGTAACCTCAAGAAAGCAATACACAATCTAAAACAAAAAGCAATGAAGGCCATGTTTGCGCTTAAAAGCACTTTATCCTCCCAAAACATATCTAATCCACTATTACAAATGAAACTATTTGATAAAACTGTAAAACCAATTTTACTATATGGTAGCGAGGTATGGGGTCAGGAAATTCTCAAAGAAAAATCACTAAGCCTAGATAAAATCAATAACACGTCCTTCGAGCAAATTCACCTAAAAATGTGCAAATGGGTATTAGGAGTGAGAAAAACTGCCAGTAATAATGCCTGCAGAGCAGAATTGGGTAGAAACCCAATCCTTACAGATATAATTAAATCCATGCAAAAATACCACACCAGACTTAAAAATCTCCCGAATACAAGAATACTGAAACAAACATTAAGCGAAGAAAAACTCCTGAAAATAGATAATTGGACTAAAACAGTGGCGGCATTTAGACAGAATTGGGGAATTCAACATTGGGATGAAACATCAGACCTAGAAAAAGAAATTAATCTAAAAATCGAAGACCTTTTTTGGAAAGAATTGAACAAGGAGAACCACAATAAACTGCGTACATATCGAAAAATAAAAAACTCATACGATCTTGAAAATTACTTAAAAATGAACGCCACAAGCTCAGACAAAAAATACTTAGCCAAAATGAGAATTAGTGACCACGAGCTAGCGATAGAGAAAGGCAGGCACATGAAAATCACCCTGGAACAAAGAACCTGCACAAGCTGTAAAACGGAAATAGAGGATGAGAAACATTTCTTCCTCACATGTAGTAAATACCAAATAGAGCGACAAAATATGCTCAGTTCCCTCCCAAACACTGTGAGACAAAATTATGAATTAGCAGGCAGTGATCAGAAACTATTCATCCTCCTCAACCCTCAAGATCAGAAATCACTAAAAGCATTATCACAGTATATACAGTTAGCAACACGATGAAATATCACTTTCTCTCTTTTTATGTAAGTACAATATGGTAGATTCTGTAGTAGACTAGACAGCAAACAATGTTAAATTGTAACATTCAAAGCTGAATAAATTATTATTAAATTGAAAAGATTTTTTCAGATGTGATATCAATTGAATATAATTCTTATATTTTAATATAAACAAAAACAAGGGGCAGACATGGCAACATATCAAAGTTATTCTATTAAATGCACTCTCTACCTGGGTTTTTCATGTAAGAGAGCCGTGGTTGGGGAAAGACTGTACGTCTTAGGTACAGTGAACAGAGTTAAATTAAACAAAATTAAATTAATTTTGTTTCATGTTGTACTAATGACATTCAACTGCAGATTCACTTTCAGTTCCTTTGATTGACGGATATTCAAAATTACCGCTATTCCTTAGGGGCACTGTAAAGCTAACACATGAAATGGACACTCAGGGTAGGCGGATATATTAATACATCTCTATTTCTCATAGACACACATACACACACACTTTCTTTCTACTCGTCCATCTCTCTCTCTCTCTCTTTCTCATATACACACACTTTCTCTTTCCTCGTCCGTCTCTCTCTCTCTCTCTCTCTCTCTCTCTCTCTGGTAATAATCGCTGGGGCAGGTTTCACCAAAGAGAGTTAGCATGAAAACTGGTCTTGAATTTTAGACAAACATTTGAGTCTTCTTTTACCCAGTTCCCAGAATACATCAGCAAAACTGATATAGTATACCGTGAGGTTAATGTATAACTACTTGTTCACCACCCACATCGTTATCTACATCGTGTCCTTGAAAAAACGCTAACCGAATATCACTTAAAATTATAATCGTGAGATTAAAGTAAAATAACAGAAAAAGGAAATGTGATCACGTAGCACTCTATAAATGCAATATTTTAACATATCAATGCAACATGGGACCACAGGGAAATATGTTAAGCAGTGTCGAGTCAAAAGGAATTAACAAAACACCCCCACACCCCAAACCCTCACAAATACATGTACACAGACGTGTGCAGTGTATTACTGATATGTCAAGTACTCAGCTAGTATAGGCTCTACAGTAGACTTTGATACCGTCCTGGTTATTGACAACGTCACCTGATTCTGGTGTGTTGATCGATGACAATTGTAAACCTATCAGATATCAGATAACCTACTAAACGATATATACACGTACACAACAGCCTTGACAGCAGTAGAGGAGGGCGGTTAGCGCACGCGTGTGTGTTGGGGGGAGGCTAATACATGCACCATGGCAATGGCTCGTTGTATAGAAACTAGGGGCTTCCATTTTATTTCATCCTAGTTTTATTTATCCAAATACCATTTCCATACTTCTCATCATCTATGTCTTCTCTCATCTCTGTTACTTTATTTAAAAACAGATTGCATTCAGTCGACGTCACTCTATCTAATTGCTCATACACAGTTTTAGGGAGTCCATTTTTGTGTAGAATATCCCCGACTGTTTGAGAAGGGATCATGGTACATGTACAGCCCAGACTCCTGCTCCCTTCTTTCTCAGTGTTTAAATGAAAGCGAGCACCGAACTTGAACCGTCAATGTATGCATCTATAATATGTATTCATCTATTCTAAACATCGTCAGCTTCAACTACGATTCAACTGTATTTTGTATTACGTCACCTACTATTTTCAAAGGGACAACTATACAGGGTGTATAAAAAAAGTGGACACTTAGAAAAATACCCAGAATTTAAAAATTTTATTTCATATAACAAATGTTAAGATCCATCTGGATTATGTAAATGATATGTATTCAAATTTATGTTATCAGCACTAATTAACGGTTTACTACAAAAGATAATTTGGAAGACTGTCAGAAAATATCTCTGAATTAATCCACCCCTGATAATATATCTTCATCTATTCTACTACGTTTCAACTGTAGCATTATGTATTACGTCACCTATATTTAAAGCGACAACTTTATAGCAAAAGAGGGTATACTAACATGTTAATACCTATTACCAAAGCTACAATACTAAGAACAAGGAAATTTTCAGGGGGAGTGGGGACATATGTCACCGGAATGACACCCCTCACAGTATACATGTATCACTGATATGTCAAGCAGTATTCAGCTAAAACAAGCTTTAGACTTTGACACCGTCCTGGTAATTGACAATATCACCTGATTGGGATGTGTCGATCGGGTGACAACTTTGAAGTGGTATAGATAACTTATCAAATGATATATAAAGTGTACTCAACGGTTTTGGCAGCAGTAGAGCGGGGCGGTCGGCGTGTAGGGGGCGGGGCGCTGTGCCCACTCTGGGCGCCTATACCATGGCAATGGCTTCGAAAGCGATGTGCAGCGTATTCAGTGAGAACTTTTTAACGTGTCATATATGTATGGAGGAATATAAAGACCCGAGAGTGCTCCCCTGTTACCATTCGTTCTGTCTGGAATGCATTGCTGACCATGCAGCCAAAAATGGTGTCCAGAACAAGTTCTCCTGTCCCGTGTGTCGCCAAGAGGCCCCCGTACCACCAGGTGGGTTAGAAACTCTCGTGAAAAACTTCTTCTTAAGAAAAGTAACAGACTTCATGAAAGATAAGAAAGCACCCGAGGGGAGACTTTGTGAGTATTGTAACCATAAAGAAGCCAGTCTCGTGTGCCAAGGATGTCCAAAAACCAACCAACTGTGCGCTACATGTCGTGATATTCACGATAAAATACCGTCTTGCGCGGGCCATTCATTAGTACCTCTGTCACAAGTAGACCCGTCAGCTAACCCAGTAAGTATACGAGAACAGTTACGGCATGTATTAGATAAAGCTCAATACTGCGACAAACACGACGGCGAGTTGTTGACATTCTATTGTGAAGAGGATGACACCGTGGCATGTAGAGATTGTATTTTGGAAACTCACAGTAAACATAACTTTAAAAAAGTAGGGGATGTGGTGAAAGTTCAACGAGATCTACTACAAGAAAAGCTTAAATGCCTAACAACAGAAAAACTGTCTCGTTTTGAAAAGGCAGAAAGAGTAATTTTTGAAACCAAGGACGGGCTGGCTGAAAATCAGACAAAGGTTCTTCGTTTGGTGGATTCTCAAAAATTAGCTATGACGGAGGAGATTAAGGAAAACAGTAAAACAATTGAAAGAGAAATCAAAGATTATTATCAACAAGTAGAGAAGGACGTACGTCAACAGACAGACGCGTATTTGACCACTGTCAAACAGCATTTGGAAACTTATGAAACAAAAATACAGTCCGTTTACACCGAAATGCAGAAAGTTATAGATGACAAAAGCAACACAATATCGGCAGAAGTGAAGACTCTCACCTCCACGCAGGTGAAAACTTTAGAAGGTGAAAAGGACAAGCAAGAAATGAACAAGATTTCCATTCAGAGCATTCGTGATTTCGCTCAGCAGCTCACAGACATCGGTTCTGACATCGAGGTCATGACCCACTCTAAAAAACTCCAAACTAGAATTCAGGAGTTAGAGACATTAGAACCAGTCTTTGATACCAAGATCACCAACATAACATTTACACCAGGGCACGCAGCAATGGACGGTGTGCTACAGTTTCCTAAAATTCCTGAGCCACAGCTGTCCATCAAAACGGGGTCCATTACGGCCAAAACATACCTCGGTCCCTTGGATGCACATTTTGGAAGTGTAAAACAAGAGAGAACGTACTATCGCGAGCTGATGGAATTTCAGAAAGTCACATGGCCTCATGCACCAGAGCGGAACGTGCGTTTTAATGTTAAGGATTTGCTGTTGGATATTCAATGCACAAATGGCGGTTGTATTTTAGTTTTACATGGTGACCTAAGCGGTTGTAGAATAGTGTCCGTATTCTCAATCACAGGTCAATGTAATCGTAAGATCAGTATAGAGGGAGGGGCGAGGTGTATCGCTACAGTCAGTAACGATAGATTCGTGGTAACATGTCCCGGTGCATGCTGTAGATTGTATTCAACATCAGGTCAGATTATCCGATGTTTTGGTCAGGGTGATATGTCTAACCCCTGGGGTGTTACTGTGGACCGTACAGAGGGTAAGGTGTACGTGTGTGATGGCGGTGCACAGTGCATCTGTGTGTGCGACATAAAATCTTTTCAACTTGTAAGCAAAATCCCTATCCCAATGTGCAGTAAAGGTTCACTGCGCTGTGCATACCACCACGGCATCAATGCAATCATAGTCAGCGACAACAGTGCCCACTGTGTGTATGCAGTGACACCCCAGGGTGACGTCATGTTCCAATATGGAAAACGAGGTCAGAGTGGAAGTGGAGACAGACAACTAAATTATCCACGAGGAGTGTGCGTAGATACGTATGGACACATATTCATAGCTGACTTCAATAATCACAGGGTGGTTGTCCTTGGTTCAGACGGGAGGTTTTTACATAATATTTTGTCAAGGAGTGACGACATTGGGCATCCTATATCAGTTGATGTTAACAGAGACGGAGAACTTGTTGTTGTAACTATCAGATGTGAGATATCCATATATAAGTATATTGGTAAGCAATGACTTATATGATTTGACACTATAATGATGAAAATGTACTGAACACACTACAAACGTTCTTTAACACCATCCAGCTCTGTGTTTGTTTAATATACATACTGAAAGTGTGAAGAAATTATGTATGAATTCGATACATACAAGCGTAAAGACAGGATATCAATTTCATCGTTTTTATCATTTTTGCCTGCTGCAGATCAACAGATAATTTATTTTATTAACAGCTCCTTTTTTAACTTTTAGAATTTGATTGTTTACAGATATCTTTTTTTTTTTTGTCTATTTATGAATTAAATTGGTATTATTTTTATTATCATTATAATTATTAATGTTAATTAGCGTATGGTAGATATGGCATATAACAAGAGCTATAAAGATGAGACTCTGCAGATAATTGATACTCTAAAATACAATTTGATGTTTTAGAAATAAAATCAAATGTGTTTTGCTTATGTGAATTGTCGTCGTCATCATGAATTTCATTAGCACTGAGATTTAACAAAAACAAAGCGGCCGCCGCAACAATTTTGTGTTAATAGTCTTCACTGTGGAGTCACTCCGGGAATTTTTGAACAAAAAGTGCACGGTCTTGAGGGGACTTCCGAATGTAGTGTCCAGTTAAAAAAAACAAAACAAAAACACGAGCAGGACCCTCAACTTCCGTTCCTTGTACTTCGTAGTTTGTGAGGAGACATGGGGGGGGGGCTGACCTGTCCCCTTCAATTTTAAGAAATAGCAAGAATTATAAAGAAAGGACTTTGCTGGTTATTTTCGATCTATCTTCGTGCAGCTAAAATATGAATTATCGGCGTTCATATATTTTCTTGCAATGTATAAGCATAGGCATCTGAGAGCTTTAATCGTCAATTTTAACACCTTTCTACATGTATTTTGAGGTGAGAAAACAATCGGTATGGGGCTAACAAGATTTTACCCCAAAAATTGGCAGAGTTGACCAGGAGTGTAAAGACTACAATCCCGTGCCATATTTTTGTTTTAAATGTTTTTGTTATGGAGTTATGAGCCCCTTATTCCAGATTTTCATTAAACAAATCATAATTTGGCTTTATCAACGATAAAATCTGAGGTAAGACTTTTAAGAAAATTCACTGGCAGGGTTTGGAATACTATATGATATCATTACATCGGCGTTGAACGGTGATCGTGGATGCTCAGGTCAAGGAGAAATTTGGGAAACAGATTTTTTTTAGATTTTACACCAAAATCGCAATTATGACGTCACACGTAAGATGAAATGTGTGTAAATGTAAATAAATTTAGTCAATGAACACCAAAGATTTGTTTATTACCCAAACAAATGTATGGAAGGCAGTAAATAAGGAGTTTTGGGCGAAGGGTTACAACATTCTTAACACGTTTTCAGTATGGATCACAATAAACAACACCTAATTTCTTTGCTTTGTTTTTATATTATTGTATTTATTATGCTGGCAAGCAGCGGATACCGCCATTAGTTATACCTGTATACTTTCAATAACATATACTTTGTTATTTTCTTGTCTAATATTTCATTAAAAGAAACAGCATATCTGTAAATAATTGGCTTAATTGGCTTCTTCTTTGAATTATGAAGCCACCGATTTCAAGTCATAAATGATGTTCGTATATTTTCGTTCCGACGCTCGGCTTGCCCGGCCAGTTACTGCCTCCGTGTCAGTCAATTAACACTGGTTCCTGCAGGTGGTCTTCCAGTAAAGAAGCTCAAACCTCCCGTAGCAGCCCTTTAATTTCATGCACCTGTTAACAGCACACAACTCATATGTTCCGCCGTTGAAACACTCTCCTTCCAACTGTTTTATAGAGTAAAATTTCCGAGATCCCTGGATGTAACCGCACACCTCGTACTTCCCTTTCTTGGCCGTGCTCCTGGAATTGGTAATAATATGTATATATCACAGTAAGATCACGGACTAAAAGGATCATTTGAATTTTAAAATACATGTAGCTGATAGCCAATTTGTCTTCTTTTAAAAGACAAGAATTAAAATTTAGAGCTATATGTTCAGTAAAAAGGATCGCCCAATAGTTTTATTGTCCCAGTCTGTCGGATCTGAAGACCTTAAAGAGATAAGACGAATTAAATTTACATAAATTAAGTTCTGAACTGATCTACATTAATTATCAAATAATTCAACGTGAGTCTTGGAACTCGTTCAAAAATGGAGGATGGATGAACAAGATAATTTGGAAGGTTCTCAATAATACTGTATATGGACCCTGTGAGGGAACTTATGGTTTACTAAAGCAAACAATGTCTACACAAAATGATGTACACTGTAGAGTTCTATGTATTTATGATCAATGTTGCATTATCATTGAGGGATATGACTGGTAAAAGAAACTACCTTTATCCACTCCGATATTTCTTAAATGTGGTGTATACCCAGGCAGGATAAGGTTTCACGTGTACAAAATTGCCAGAGAATTTATTTTTCGCCATGTATTTACGTGAAGTCCCATGGAAGCCCTGCATGGGTAACGTGACAATTCAAAATGGCCGCCAATTACACTTCAGCATATACGACCTGTCCCATGCCAATACCTTATCACAAATTCACACTACATATTGATTTATTTGCAAATATTTACTACTTTAACATCATAATAAAGTTTTATGATGAATCCACAATGACAGCCAACACTCAGTTAAATAACTATCCACTACAGTTGTCTTCAGTATTGATGCATTAAACTTTTCAAGCATGATTTAGAGCTCATTATAAATTCCAGATAATTTATTGACTAAGATTTTAACATTGAAGTTGTATGCGAAATTTAAAGCTGTCAATTGTTTAACAAGGAGAGCGTGGTCCGGTATCATAGGTATAACTTAGAATGGGCATTTGCGGCCGTCTTGGATAAAACTCTCGGGCCCACTTTCATCAATACGGGATAGCGCTATCCTATTGCTAACATTGTCCTTTGGATAAAATTGTTATCCTCTGGAAAGTTATCCTAGGGACAGCAGTCTTTTTTAACCCATGGAAAGGAAAGCCAGAGACAAAAATAAGTTTCTAGTGTTAAGTAAACGTTACTTAACGCACAGGATAATTGCTCAGAGGATAACAATTCCATCCAATGGATAGCGTCATCCAGAAGATAGCGCTATTCAGAGTTGATGAAACTGGGCCCAGCCTGCCTTAAACATGACACTAAGTTTATTGGAAACCACTCTGACATGTAATATACCAAAAGTCTGACCTAGAAGAGAAATGATTTAATATTTTAGGAAAACACATATAGCGGGGGAAATATAGGGACTTGTATGGCTGTTATGGCTATTGAATTTGGTGACCATAGTTTAGTAGAGATGTAGTGCATATTGTTCTTTACCTTTTGCCGCAGGTAACTATCCAACGATGGGATGTACTAGTGCAGTTCTCACATTTTCCTGAAAAGTTTTAATCTACTACATATTTTTCCATAAAGATGAAAACAAAGAAAGAAAAGAAAATGAAAGTATTAATGAAAATACTTATTAAGATATGCATAAAACAGGGGCTCTATCGAGGTGCATTATTTTTCATCATTTTCTGAAGGACATAAAACATTATAAAGCCATTGGAATATTTATAACTGAAAAAAGTATCTTCATGCTACTATACTTTAACTGTCTACCTGTCAGTTCATATCCCCAAACACGCACACATACATACACACACACACATGCACACACGCGAACACACTAATACAAGTACTCACACGCACACACGTGAACATATAAACACAAGCACACACACGCACATGCGAACACGCGCAAACACACATACATACAAATACCCCTGGCTACACACACAAACTCTTCCACACTTCTCCTTGACCTACTTATCCATTACATACCTCAGACGTACACTGGATGACTGGAATGTTACAGTTAATAACCGAGACCGTATAATGTCTGTCTACAGAGAGCGAAACAACCATTATCATGTTGGTTTCTGAATAACAAGAACTCACAAATAAGTTTTTGGTGTTGAGGAATGCATCACGCACAAAAACCACTCGTACCTAATTTTTCTAAGTATTTCTCCCAGTTTTCTTTGTCCTCTTCTTTGACGTCGTTGTCGCCTTCGTCGTCAAAACTATCTTCAGTTTGGTCTACAAATTAATTTTTTGACATTATGGTATATATTTTTTAAGTAATAACGCAAATGAAAAGACCGGGATTCTTATACTTTTTAGGAAATTCACAGTCTGTTTTGTTCTACAATCCACACGAATGAGGTAAAGCTGTATCTACTTGTATAACCCTACTCATTAACTAAATTATTGATACACAAAATGTGTTTCTTAACAAGAGTGTTACTATTTTTTTTGCTATTTGCCTACATTATTATAGAGAAGGAATTCACAATTCTTTGTTAATCAAGAAGACGTGCAAAAGAGACCTAAAACAAAGCTACCGTTACCATCATCATCGCTGTCGTCATCATACAGAATTCTTTTTAACACGTCGAGGATTTTAGTGAAAGAGCTGCGTTTCTCTCTGGTGTCGTCTGCAGAGCAGTTTGCCACCCCCACAACGGCACACAGCAAGACCAAAATCCCCACAGCAGGCTTCATGCTTCTCCTGGCGTCTGATGAAGACGGCGTCCCTCCCTCTTTAAGTGAATGTGGCAGCGGAAGGTAGGTGTACGGGTAGAGTTTTGGTGAAGACGTTTGCTCCTCCGCGTGGATACACACGACTGACTCAATGTGAGACGCTAGACGGTCTGGTTAAGAAGATTTCTGTGCCCTTTAGTGTCACCAGTGAGGGGCGGTTTAATATATGGATGCGTTTCTGGTCTAATTTCATGCAAGCACACTGGTCGGTGGTTTAAGAGGCATCCATGTCCTTATATATATCCATTAGGGACACATTTATAGGCAAATGATGGCTGCAAATGTTTTGTAACGTCTACTTCAAAGTGGAGCAAACATTTTAATCGGTGGAATTTATCCAGGGGCGTAATGAGACGCCTAACCCTGCCTCCCCCCTCTCTCTCTCTCTCTCTCTCTCTCTCTCACACACACACAAACACACACACATGCACGCGTGCACGCACACACACACAATGAAATACACGCAAACAGAAATAAGAGAGACAGAAAGAGAAAGAGATACGAACTGTCTTCTATGGTTACATCTAAATTAAGCCAGTGGTATACAGGACATGTAAACAGAACACCATCTGATATCTCATGTGCCTCTAAAAATGTATAGAATTTTGTAACAGACTGCTCGCAGATTCTGTGGCCAAACAGGGTCACCACAGGAAACCGCTTCAAAGGTGCGCGAGCATTGAGCCTTTGAGCTAACATTGACTAGTGTTTGTCACATTATCTTGATACGATTCATGCACTGACTTTTCAGGGTTATGGATTCAAGATTCCTTTTATCCTCGGTTTACTGAAGAAACGGGCGATTTGTAAAGTCAGTCAGTGTATCTTGAAATCTCATGCGAGTCAATCAAATATGAAGAACCGTTTTGGAACTCTCTTTGGCGTCTCAGCAATAGACAGACTCGGCAAAAGAGACCCCCCTCCCTCCGTTTATATCCTGGCCGTCAACAAACTGAAAAGATTTATCTGATATATGACAACACATACACGGCCCAACGTTTATATAAAAGACATTTACTTTAAAACATAAAGGAGAAGGAAACGATAACGTGAGCTTACTCGGACCATGAGACAAGCTGCTGTGAAGCACCATGGATTCTGGCAACGTGGTTCTTGGGGTGTTGCTGAGCGTTAACCATTGAGTCTATTAGTAGCGGTATGGAAATATCTTGAAAACTTTGACTTGTGGATGGACTTTAATTACATCGAGATCAGTTTCAGTAATTAATGTGTCGGGGTTGCACACGTAACTACACTGGTGTCGAGTCCATGAGATTTATTAGATGGGAAAGTATCTACTTTAAATTTCACTCTGCAGTTTATACCTCTGTCTCTTGTACTCTCTGGTATTGAGAAACCGATATTGTTAGGTAAAGCGATTTTAATTGAATTAAAATTAAAATGTTTTGTTGTTGTTGTTGCCATTACAGCATGAGTCCGCCTGCACGTTTAATCATTTACTAAGTGGACTGAGTGAACCTACCCCCCCCCCCCGGCACCTCCCCTCCCTCCCTCCCACACCTGCATACTTCACCGGGTGATAATACTGACTGGAACGTGCGTAGGCTGTCCTCGGTATGCCAGACCACTTAATACCCCACCCCCTACACAGACACAAACACAAACACGCATAACGTTCATTTAGCCATTATGGCACATTGTCGTTGTCCTCGCCAGTGTCCTTGGTGTCACTTTCCGTGTCACCTGTCCTCGTCTTCCACGCTGAACTAATACCAAACCACGGTCCCACTCCTTAGTGAATTAACACCCACTGTGAAATAAACGTTATAAACAAACCCCGGGAATTAGCATTTTGTCCAAATTACTTGACTCCTGAATTACAATCGTTGACAAGAAATCACTGTGGATGTGACAGTTTTATGTGTTCTGGTTTTCAGGTGACAGTTTGTCTGCTGGTAGAGGGAGCTCAATTGTTTTGTTTTGCTTTAAAAAGCTAATTCTGGTAGATTTATGTGCCACGGTTTAAGACAACAGCTGAACTGTAAAGACACTGAGATCATCAATGCACCTACGCTAATAGTTTGTAGACAATTATTTTTCTTCTGGCAGACAGAAGTGGCATGGATCATATCATGTGATTGACGCCCATTTCAGGTAGACTGCTGTTGAAAAATTTACAGTGAACTCAACATCTTGGGTAGATGATAACAAAAAGAAAAAAAAAGAAAGAAATGCATTACAAAGCACATGTTAAATTTTCTATCTTTAATGAAAGCTGTATCTTCTACAGTAGACTAGCGTCCTAACAAATGTCAGATTTCTGAATCGAAACTGGTTCTCTAACTGCGTTTGCAGTTTTGGGGGACTTTGCGAGGAGTCGATTTGTGTGTTACCATTACACCACGGTTCACGAGCATCCCTACAGAAACGGGAATTAAGTGAACATTTTGTAAGTTGACTTCAAGTTTCTTAACATCTAAAACTTACAAATAAAAACTGTTTATCTAAACAACAAAAGCTTGCTGAAAATTCAGTTCTTTCTTCTATATTCCCGAACCAGAACATCATTGCCAGCAAAGGCATGGAATTCTACAATTAGTTCTATGTTCCTCTATAGGAAGCCGGCAGTAAAAATAATTACCCATAAAAGGACATGTTTTAAAATATTTTGATCTACTTTATTATTAGGAACGATTCCTTTTCCAATAGCCACTGTAAAGCACTTCCAATTGGCGCCAATATCGTTTATAGTTTTGTGTAAGGAATCCAGCATTTTCATGTCCTACAAGTTGATATGTCATAATCAGTCAAGATTTAGTCAAGTGTATTCTTAGATCTGTAAAAGAACAAAGTGCGACAATCTTTCTTCTTCTTTAGACAGCGTTTTAGCAGACTTTGTGACATTTCTTGGTGTACACCTCGCACGTGATTGGTCCATTACAACCGGAAGTGAGCACGCATCTCTTCGACTCACATTCCTTCACTTCACCTGTGCATTTGCTGCCTTCCTTGCGTTTGCAATTTTGGAATCTTTGACCGCCTAAAGAGAAAAATGATTAATATTCTAATTAACCTATTTTCAATCGATGGAACAATCATACTGTTATATAAAAACAAATACACGAACAAATTGTTTAGTTTTAACATCAGAACATCAGCACACCAAAAAAAGACCAAGATACCATGACCAGGACCAAAAAATCTGAGGTATTTTGTTTTCTGACTGACAGTCATCATGTCTAACACCAGTATGTATTTAATGTGACGTGGACTGCATGTATTATATGTGCTAACTTACAGTGTATAATCCGTTGGCTAACTTACTGTGTATAATTCGCTGGCTAACCTACTGTGTATAATCCGCTGGCTAACTTACTGTGCATAATCCGCTGGCTAACTTACTGTGTATAATCCGCTGGCTAACTTCGCACACTTCAAACTCTCCGCTCTCAACGTTCTTCTCGCTGACTCTGCAGTACAGAGGTCGGGTGTGGATGTCTTTCTTTTCACACTTGTGGCACTTCAGGTACTCCTCTAGTCCGATCAGTCCTGGGGAGAGGCAAATAAAAGACAGTGTGATTAAATGGATAACGACTTTATTTTGGCCAAAAATTGACTCTCCTGGGGTAAATAACAATTTTGCCATAATTACTAATGGTTACTGAATCCGTTCCGACATTCAAAGTTTTTTTTGTTTGTTTGTTTTTTTATAATCTCTTAAAAGATAAATACAGAGGGCAGCCAACTATGGAAGTCACGTGGTAAGATGGCAATCACAAATTCCAAAATAATTGTGATAACCGCCGTTGTCGTGGTAAAAAACTTCATATCTATGAGTTGTTTGCAATGTATTTATTGTGAAATATGTATATCATTCGAAGAGTTGTTATCCGTTCAATATATGTACAATATACTACGAAAGAAGCTTCTTATGGTATGTAGATAGGATAATAAAATATAATTTATTACATGTACAGCATGGTGCTTTGTCTACAGTTTACCTGCAGAAATCGACAAAGTAATGGAAAACGGACTAACGGTTCCACCGGATACACACCACTCCTGTCACAGTAACTCTCTCATTACGCTTACCTTATGAAGTGAACTGCCTTTTTCTAATTTCTGTTCTTTTTAATATTTTTATATTTCTGAAGCATTCATAACTAGGCCTGTGACTTTTATAATAGACCAACACAAGTAATACCAACCGGAAGTGGTTCGGGTAGTACAAAAGCCGTGAAGGAAAATTAGAACTACGAGTTAAACTATCTCCATCCATGTCAACCCAAGTTCTGACACCGGCATCTTAGAAAGGACGTGTCACTGGCAGTGTGGACAACAGCGATGACGTCATCAGGCACCATCACAGAGAGCTAGAGAGTATTGGCAAACCTTTTCTGTTAACAGCATACATCTGGCGTCCCCAGGCTCCCACTAAGTGTCACTGGCAACCCATATACACATACTGGACAATAGAAGTGTCACCCCTACTGAACCAACACTTTGGGGGAGATAAATAACTGTTGAATGATATGCTCCTGGTATAATTTTACTAACATCAAATTTCATAAAAAGACCAACAATACAATTCCAGGGTACAGCGATTTTGTATTCATTAGTCAGTAGACCAGGCATTATAGAAGCGTCACCCCCTGATTCAGAGTAATCAAAGTTATAACTTTGATTACTCTGATTCAGGGGGTGACGCTTCTATTGTCCAGTGTGTGTATTATTCAAACGTGGCCTCTGCAATGTCCAGCAATCAGGGAGACGCCGAAAAACTTAAACTATGTGTTAACAACAATGAATCCAATAGTTATATATCCCTTCTGTATTTTATGTAAAGAAGCAATGTCATTATGCTGTAGAAATGAATTACTTACCTCTTAGAGTCAGGTCTTCATCATGGTCGTCTACCTCTTCCTTCTCTTTGGCGTCGTCTTTCTCCTCTGTTTTCGAATGTTCAGAACTTTTGTCTGTTTCTTCTGTTGAGGGAAGTATATATTATTTACACTCAAAAAACCGTTTGTATAAATATTTATTTCTATATTTCTAGCTTAAGTACTTGAGGAAAAAATAACACGCTTTTGTAAGAATAATGCTAAACTGACACAAAAGGACTATTTATTATGTATGCCAGATAGTCTGGGATAGTGTGTTTTCTCATGACCATATACTTAAAAACAAGACAGTATTTTGAAAAATAGCCCTTCAACTCACCGTCCAGTAGACGCAACAGGAGCTTCTTTAACGTATTTTCCCTGTCGCCAGCGCTGGTGGCGGAGACGACAGCACACAACATACACAAGAGCAGGACGATCCTCATGGCGGAGACGGGGGTTGAGACGACACAAACAGTGATGATACCGTGGCTTAAGAAACCAGACACCAAGACGCGGGCAGAGGAGTGCGTGACGGCGTGAAAGACGCTAGCGTTCCCAGTTTATAGTAGGAGATGAGCAGTTAACCGCTGACACCTTACGTGCTTGTGATACAGCGCGTTTAATCAAAGAAAATGTCGGGAGATGTTTAATGTGTTTTTTAATGAGAGGAGAGAGGGTATAATGGTTTCGAAAATAGTGCTTTGGAACTAAGGCAAATTCTTCACAGGTGCAGGCAGTAGCTGTTGCATAAATAAAGGTGCCGCTTGAATATCACATCAGACGGAATGTCAGAGATTGGCCCTGGTCTACGGGCGTATTCCCAGACATTTAGATCGATCTATCCCCGTGGGGAGTCTCACTAGATTACTGTCAGATAATCCGGCTAAAATGTCCGTCCCGCCTACTACAAGCTGTAAGGGGGTAATTAACTTTCGTGCCCGCTCGGCTGACAGCTATTTAGCGTGAGCCCCCAGGGAGTTAGGTCGATCTAGTTTGGATCGATCTTATCTCTGGGAATGAATCCAATAGTTATATATCCCTTCTGTATTTTATGTAAAGAAGCAATGTCATTATGCTGTAGAAATGAATTACTTACTATGTCAAGTTGACTCTGGAAGGGACCAGTTATTATTTATGCCACTTTGGCACATAGGGGCCGGTCATTACTTATACCAGACTGGCTGGTAGCCACTGTTTATATGATCATTTACGTCAGGTCAATATTAATTCAATCTAACACAGATTTTGCGCGTACATAAATAAATAAATACAATCTGTTTTCAGGTCTTAAACTCAATGTGAATCACAATGTACTTTTAAAAAAAGTAAAATAAGAAAAATAATCTGAAAAAGAACCCACCCAATTGTTTATCAGCCATTTACATTGTAGGGTACCCCATAAATCTGGATGTCTTTCTGTACGCCAGACATCTCGTCCATTCTCCATTCAATTCCACACACCCAGGTAGGTAAATGGAGATATAAGAGCAATTAGCGAGTACCTGAATGGTTGTCTGGTTGAATATTGTATACAAGGTGGATTTGAAATGTTAAAACATCCCACGAAGTGAATGACAATTTGTTGTGACTTGGAAGCCAACTAGTATCTGCCTGCGATTAGTTACGATTTAGCGACAGGGAAAACGAGACATACGGTGCCTTCATCATCAAAGATGAATCCTTTTACGGAGGGTGGGGATCCAAAAAGTGCATTTTTAGAGTTTTTAATTGTTTTATTAGATTAATCTATTTTTGTCCGTCATGATACATATGTGACAATGACATAGAAAGATTAAAAAAAGCATTTAGACTCATTCGCTCGTTGAAAAATTATCCCTCTCTGAACATGGACTACAATATCGATTTATTTTTCTAGCATTCCTCTTACAACGTTTTGCAAAAAATCTTCCAAATCTTGGAGCAAAACCCCTCCCAATTTTTTCCTCGTCGACAGTATGTGTACATATGACTGTATAAATAAATCTCCCAGTCGTATTCTACAAGACTGAAGTTTAAAGATTTTCTCATTGGACTTTTAGTTAATTAAACCCTACGCTAAGTAAGTTTATCTAAGCTATTACTGGACCTTCAGTTTATGAAACTTTACATGAATAAAGCTTATGTGATCTGTTACTGGACTTTTAGCTCATCAACGTTCAGTCTCCTTAGCGTCGACGTTGACCTGCCCAGTGAGAATATATACTGAACTAGTCTCAAACTTTAAAAATGAAAATTATCAAACACAAGCCGGAATATTTTCATACCGTTAGCTTACGGCCAACCTGGACGTAGGCCTTCATCAGACTGACGTGTGCAGATGTTCACACTCACTGACCGCTAGGTGGTATAGCTAACGGTATAAACGCTTTTTGGTTTGTGTTTGATAATTTTCATTTATGATCCAACTACAAAGCTAATGAACATTTTTTTGCACATTTACTCTCTGACTTGTTGCGGAATGGTTTTTTTAACGAGCAGCATTTAGAAACTTTGGTAAAATTTGTTTGGTCACGTACGTTGTTGATGGACTTTTGCAAACGAATACTTTAATTAGACGGAGGTCAACCATGATGTTATTTCACCTTGACGAATAGATGCTGAAGAACATAAAACAAAATGTCTGACACCTTATGGCACTCAATGCATTTTATTTCGGTCTCTAATGTGTCTTGATATTCACAACATGTTACAGCATCTGGGAGAGTGCACCACTAATGACAAATTTAATTCTCACTTTGGATATTTGGTAAATGTTGTCTGTAAAGCACCAGTATAGCTGTCCACGATCAGCAGGAGGACAGAATATACTGTACTGCAATCCAGCGATTACTTCACGATATCAAAACTTAATTAAACTCTCAGTGTGCATTGTGAAAACAGGCAAGGGAGTGGTATTGCTAGTACAATACTGCCGTAACTACCTGCAAATATTTTGTTAATGTTTATGCCCGACTACAATATAGCACAATTAATAAAATAATCCAAGATGCATTATCATTCGTAAAAAAATATTGCATCTAAAAACAGGCTACATTGTAGCAACTAATATGCGCCATTAGGATTCGAAATACAAAACATACTATATATATCGATAATGCCACAATCTGTGAATAAAACTTTGAGGCTATTGCTGTAATTAGAACAACAGAGACAATATAGTCCCTTCACTACGAGGTAATTGATGATTTCAATATATATCACATTTTATGTGCTGCTTTTACATAAAGTAAAAAACTGATGTAAAAATAACATCAACCGAATCTCTGATGTCAATAAGAAAACTAAGTCAAAGTTTCAAATTAAATTACGCAAGAGAAGACAATGGCACACCGTCTATTTCCATCATGGCTGTTGCTCGTCAGAATAATCCTGGTGACTTGTATCAAACTTTTGAAAGAATTATTCAAAGGCTATCACATTTTCTTGAAATGTCATAAAACTGGATATGCCTACTGCACGTTCTGCCTTGTATTTCAGTAGGGCATATAGAATTTCAAAATTTTTTTCAGGTTGAAGCGAAATAGCAAGTTATAATAATGTGTGGCTTCGTATCAAATCGATTCCCTAAGCAAAACTAGATCTGCCTATCGTACGTTCAAACTATTTCACAAACACCAGTGCACAAGCAGTTGGCTTTAAAATGAAAAAAGTTCTTTTTAGCTTTAAGACAATATTATANATATAGAATTTCAAAATTTTTTTCAGGTTGAAGCGAAATAGCAAGTTATAATAATGTGTGGCTTCGTATCAAATCGATTCCCTAAGCAAAACTAGATCTGCCTATCGTACGTTCAAACTATTTCACAAACACCAGTGCACAAGCAGTTGGCTTTAAAATGAAAAAAGTTCTTTTTAGCTTTAAGACAATATTATAGTGTCAAACACACTAGTAATACGAGGCGTCGTAAAGCATGGCTGTCTCTAGCAGATCCACTCGCAGTCTCTCGTGTAGACGACACACTGGACTTCACTGGAACAGTCCGCCGCCTTCACACAGCGCAGGGACTCACACAGCTTGATACGGCCGCTGCAGCGTCCTCCCTTTCTCTGGCAGCTCTCGTATCTCTGTCCCCCTGAATACAAACAGCGTCTCGTTAATGTTACCCTGCCAATACTACAGTCGGGATATGTATAGGTCTTCAATATAATATTGTACATAATGAAATTAAATAGAACAGTACTGATAATGAAACTGGATGGAACAAAACTAGACAGAGATAGAAAAGAATGGAATAGACATGGCAACTGTTACCACATTGCAATTAGGTCAAACAAAAGAATGATGAAGAGAATATTGAGTAACGATGATCCACATGTAACAAATCATAAGTTACGAAGTCAAGTTCTGCGTTTTGTTAAAGAAGGTGCCTTTTTTAAGATATCAAGCGCCGACAAAAAAAAAGAAAAATCACACATAATGCGAATTAATGTAAAATATGTGAAAAAGAAAAACCGATAGAACAAAAATCAGATTCGATGAGCAGAAAACAAAAATAGAAAAAAAAAAAAAAAGAAAGAAATGCAGAAACAAAGGAAAAAAACAAAACAAAACAAAACTATTAAACCGCGATACTTACTGAATGTGAGAACGCTGTTTCTGCATGGTGAGAAGCCCTCCTCGTCTTTTTGTGACTCAGAGACAGTGCACTGCAGCGTCTTGGTCATCGTCTTCGTCTTGGTGCATTTTTGGCATTTTCGGAACGCTTCCAGGTTCATCAGATCATCTGAGGGAAAGAAATGTTGAAGTCAACACCACGTGTGTGAATTGGTCTGAAGTTGTGGACACGTCTTGTTCAGTAGTTTTTTTTTTTTTTTTTGCAAAAAGCATACATAGGACTTTGAAAACTTTTTTTGTATTTCTTATTCTCTCGATTTTGTGTTTTTGTCTAAACAAAATAGCGTCCGAATGAACGCACGATTTATTATAATTACGGAATGGAAAAAATTCCTAGAGTTGCTGAAGAGTCACAAGTGATCGCTATATGAATGAAATTTCTATGCGCCAATCATTTCTGTTTGGTCTTTGTTCGTGTTGGATAACTTATTTTTGTAAACTGTCCTATTTCACGCAATACACAAATCTCAAGTTCGATTCTCAAATTCACTGCTGGAATTTAGGGACATCAGAACTGCATTGAACGGTCATGAAACAGTTATTAAACACACACTCGATTCCCAACCTTCAAAAGTCAATTTAAAATTTCATTTTATGCCAAATAGCCAAATAGGTGTCCACAGGTTGAACAAATTTGTGAATTCCTACCTTTCAGATCTGTCAGCAACTGTTCCTCCTCGTCCTCGTAGTTGTCATTCGATTCCTCCTCCTGCGTCTCCTCCTCCTCAGTGTCTAAAAGATAGAAAAATGATGATATTTTAGTAAAGAAGTGCAAAAAGTTCACTCAATCTGTATGACATCCAATGGTATCTTTTGTAAGAGAAATTATTTCTTTCTCACAAGCCCTATCAAAGGAACAGTTCTTCGTGTTCTAATTCATTCTTCAACAAAAAATAATATACTGCTTACTGTTATTTCTTTTTTCAAACAAAAACAACAAACCTTTCTCCAATCAAACAGTCTGTGAGAACTTTGTAAGAATCTTTGGGTGTTCATCGGAATGCAGATCCCTTAAAGCAACTACTGTTTTTTAGGTACAAGTATTGTAAAAAAGATTTATAGCTTAGATACATTTTAACAAGTGAAATTCAGATGAGATTCTACGAAGCGAAAAACAAAACAAAAAAAAAAAAAAGGTGAGAGATGTATTCATCACACGCCACCAAACTGCATTAATTTTATACTTACATCTCATTACAAACCATGTAAGGAAATTGAGAAAAAAATCAAGATGAGCAAAATAAAAACCACTCAGGCGACCTCCACTTACTGTCATCCAGGAGTTTCATCAGGAGACTCTTCAGCGTATCTTCACTGGCCTCTGTTGTTGTCACCGCCAGAAACGCGCACACGACGCACAGTGTGAGAGCGACCTTCATGTTGCTGCTAGGGAGGAATGGAGCTAACAGGAGATGTGGCAGAGATTTTAGAGACCAGAGAACTAAACCCAGGCAGATACAAGATGCAGACTGATCCCCGTGTGCAACACAAACTTATATGTGTCTATATATATACAGGGTTTAAATCACCCGGAGTTTCAAAGGATTGGCGGCCATCAATCCACCCATCAATATCGGGCACCTTGCTGGTATTAGAATAGGAATCAGTGGAGGCAGCCTGGAGACTCAGGGTACACGTATGTCATTTGTAATCTCCTCAGCTGTGCAGGCTTCAAGAACTTGGTAATGGCAGTTGGAATTTTTTAAATGTCGTAATTAATTTGCAATAAGAATCTCTGTTCTCAAATAAATTGCTGTTGGCATCTGTCCCTGTGACTCCGATATTTATTCACGTGGAGGACAGCGTCGCCTTGTATTTAAGTATTGTGATTTAAGAATGCATTTCTTAACACGTGCTGTTTAAGTGCAACTTGTTCTTTAAATATCTTTTCATGTGCGAAAATGCATCTAAATTCCTATTTGACTTCTATCATTTTAACTGTTACACATTCACCGATTATTTATATTTTATTATTTATTTTACATTTTAATAGTGAAATGACATTGTACAATCCAACATATTCAGTTACAAGAAATAAATACTACTGTTACTATATTAACGACCAGTTTCTGGCGGCGGCCGAGAGATTCACACAGCTGGTGCCTGCCAGTTTTAATGTTGGTGATAATTTTAACCCCTGCCAACGCTGGAGATAATTTTTTTTCTTTGGTGTTGGTTGGCATGGCTGTAAATGTTTTGTCACACCTGGCATAAAGACGTACGTATGAGTGTCGTATGTGACAATGTTTACAAGTACGACTTTGAGCGTATGTAATCACTGTTTTCGGCGATTTAAAATGAAAATACTTGCAGCGTATGGAATTGTTTTTGAACAAAAGTCAAAAAGTCTATATTTCTCCCTATGCGAACACAGAACAACGACGTAATTCTTACGAATCCCTTGCGTTTGTTGGTGTATGGGGAATCTTTCTCATATGTCAGTGTTACACCCTAGCTGTGACAGTGCCTTCAGAGTCATGTTTTATGTCTCCTTAATTTTGACGAACTTTTCCAGACAGACAGCTATTTAGGAGATAAGGTTTTGTTGTCACAATCCTGAATTAATACAGACTTATATTTTAAAGATTTAAATTATTTTTTCCTTTTCACCGAGGGAGGTTTGCAATTTCGGGGGGGGGGGGGGGGGGGGGAGGGATCTAGATATAAATGAATATCTAAAAATATAAATAAATAAATCGATCATTCAATCATTAAATAGACAATTAAGCTTCGCATTAATGTTTTATTGATTTTTACAATTATACTTCCTAGAATTATTAATAACAAAATAATCCAAAACGTATTTCATTACATTTATTTTCATTTTCGTCACGTGACAATCACATAGGCTTCTGATTGGTTAATCAGTTGTCAAGGCAACGTATTGTCTCAGGCTATAATCTGAAGTCATTGCATAGATCAAGAGTTTTCATAAATAGCAATCATGAGGTAAATCATACTTACTGATCGTCTAAAGTACGTAAATCATCACACACAGTTCTAATACTTA